CGCACTGGCTGGTTGGTGGGGAGGTGGGTGGGGCGTAGGGGGTGTGCCGTGCCGAAATAAAAGGGGTCGGGGCGGAGGGGTGTGCCGTGCCGCAAGCAAGGGGTCGGGGCGGATGGGCGCGCTGGCTGGTGGGTGAGGGGAGGCGGATGGGGGTTTGCCGTGCCGGAATAAAAGAGGTCGGGGCGGAGGGCTGTGCCGCGCCGAAATAAAAAAGGGTCGGGGCGGAGGGGCGCACTGGCTGAAGGGGTCGGGGCGGAGGGGCGCGCTGGCTGGTGGGTGGGGGGAGGGGCGGAGGGGGTGTGCCGTGCCGAAATAAAGGGGTCGGGGCGGAGGGGTGTGCCGTGCCGAAATACAGGGGTCGGGGCGGAGGGGCGCACTGGCTGGTGGGTGGGGTGGGGTGGCGTGTGGGTCACTTTACAACCAGAAGCGCACTTTACAACCATATGGGTCACTTTACAACCAGCTTGCAACATCCGAGAAGGGCACTTTACAACCAGGAAGGGCACTTTACAACCAGGCAAGTAGAAACACATATTGAATGCACGCGGGCCTTTCCCTGAAATCTCCGCGGGCAAGCGCAAAGGGTGGCTTTGGGCTCTTTGAGGCATGTTGGTTGTAAAGTTGCCCATCGCGCACGAAGAAGCACTGCGCGCGCGTTGGTGATGCGACAACCTGGTGCGCTATGGTATGTTGCGTGCTGGTGGGCGGATTCTGGTTTTGGCCTGCTCTCTAAGCTCTGTCGGTCAGTTATGCCATTGCTTGCTCTGCCTTTGTCCGACGGACGAAGGCTACTCGCGCAGGACATACGAATAAACCATGATCTTGTCCAAGACTGGAGCTGCATGGCAGTGGGAAGCTGTAGTGGGAGATGTGGTACCGGGGCCTACAATGGGAACTGCATGGTGTTGGGAAGCTGCGGTGGCAACTGTAGTGGTCGCCAGGCAGCGGTGGGAACTGCGGTGGTAGCTGGGCTGCAATGGGATATGTGGTGGTAGCGGGGGGTCAGTCAGAATTGTGGAGGTAGCGGGGCTGCAGCGGGAAGTGTGGTGGTAGCAGGGTTGCAGTGGAAACTGCAGTCGAAGGGGTTCAATACGAGGCCGTTGGTGAAGACCCCGACCACCGTCTTGAACATGGCGGTGACCGCGGAGGTGGACACGCCCCAGTAGGTAGACATGGAAGTAAGGCGCGTCAAAGGAGAACGCGCCCAGCGGGAATGGAAACCACTCATAGGCATCGCTGGGGCCTGCGCAGAGCGTTCAGGCGCTCGGGCTCCGGAGCGCCCACGTGCTCTGGAGCACTTTTCAGAGCGCCCGCGCGCCCTGGAGCACTTTTGAGAGCGCCCACTTGCTCTGGGGCATTTTTCAGAGCGCCCACTTGCTCTGGGGCACTTTGCGGAAAGCCCAAACACGCACGGCCACTCTGAGCTGGTTGTAAAGTGGTCCGTTCTGGTTGTAAAGTGGCCCGTTCTGGTTGTAAAGTGGTCCGTTCTGGTTGTAAAGTGGGCCGTTCTTGTTGCAAAGTGGACGTTCTCGCTGAAAAACCATACTTTCCAATCCTATGTTGGTTGTAAAGTAACCCATCTGGTTGTAAAGTGGTTGTTCTGGTTGTAAAGAGACCAAATCTCGGGTGGGGGAGGTGTGTGTGTGTGTGTGTGTGTGTGTGTGTGTGTGTGTGTGTGTGTGTGTGTGTGTGTGTGTGTGTGTGTGTGTGTGTGTGTGTGGGGTGCGAAGGGTGCGTGCCGTGCCGAAATAAAGGGGTCGCGGCGGAGGAGTATGCCGTGCCGAAAAAAACGGTCGGGGCGGAGGGGCGCGCTGGCTGGTGGGTGGGGCGGGGGGGGCGTAGGGGGTGTGCCGTGCCGGAATACAGAGGGGTCGGGTCGGAGGGGTGTGCCGTGCCGAAATAAAGGGGTCGGGGCGGAGGGGCGCGCTGGCTGGTGGGCGGGGGGAGGCGGAAGGGGGATGCCGTGCCGAAATAAAGGGGTTCGGGGCGGATGCCAGGGCAATAAAGGGGTCGGGCGGAGGGGTGTTGCGGCCGCAATACAGGGGTCGTGGCGGAGGGCGCGCTGGCTGGTGGGTGGTTGGGGGGCGGAGGGGGTGCGCCGTGCCGAAATAGAGGGGTCGGGGCGAAAGGGTGTGCCGTGCCGAAATAAAATAAAAGGTCGGGGCGGAGGGGCGCACTGGCTGAAGGGGTCGGGGCGGAGGGGCGCGCTGGCTGGTGGGTGGGTGGGGGGGGGGGGTGGAGGGGGTGTGCCGTGCCGAAATAAAGGGGTCGGGTCGGAGGCGTGTGCCGTGCCGGAATAAAAGGGTGGGGCGGAGGGGCGCACTGGCTGGTGGGCGGGGTGGGGGGGGGGGTGGGGTGGGGGGCGTAGGGGCGTGCCGTGCCGGAATAAAGGGGTCGGGGAGGAGGGGTGTAGAAAGGGGTCGGGGCGGATGGGCGCACTGGCTGGTGGGCGGGGGGGGCGTCGGGGGGTGCCGTGCCGAATAAAGGGGGTCGTGGCGGAGGGGTGTGCCGTGCGAAATAAAAAGGGTCGGGGCGGAGGGGTGTGCCGTGCCGAAATAAAAGGGGTCGGGGCGGAGGGGCGCGCTGGCTGGTGGGTGGGGGGAGGCGGAGGGTGTGTGCCGTGCCGAAATAAAGGGGTCGGGTCGGAGGGGTGTGCCGTGCCGAAACAAAGGGGTCGGGGCGGAGGGGCGCACTGGCTGGTGGGTGCTGGTGGGGGTCGGGGCGTAGGGGTGTGCGCTGGTGGGGGTCGGGGCGGAGGGGTGTGCCGTGCCGAAATAATGGGATCGGGGCGGAGGGGCGCACTGGCTCGTGGGTGCTGGTGGGTGGGTGGATGCGGGGGGGGATGGAGGGTCGCGCTGGCTGGTGGAATGTGTAGGTGATGAGGGGTG